CCCAGGGTACTCTACTGTGCCACCCAGGGTACTCTACTGTGCCGCCCAGGGTACTCTACTGTGTCACCCAGAGTACTCTACTGTGCCACCCAGGGTACTCTACTGTGCCACCCAGGGTACTCTACTGTGCCACCCAGGGTACTCTACTGTGCCACCCAGGGTACTCTGCTGTGCCACCCAGGGTATTCTACTGTGCCACCCACTGTACTCTACTGTGCCACCCAGGGTAGTTTAACATGCCACCCATACTATGCTACCCACAGCATTCTATTATGTCACCAAGGGTACTCTACTATGTACAGTGTAGATATATTGAGACGTTGACTTACTTTGCATCTAAAATGAGCAGTGCCTTTCAATGTAGTATCCTGATGAACAACAGAAAACCTGATATTTATATTCTACAGATATAATAATAATAATGATGGGGAGTTCTTTCACATTGTGTCGATGCACTTTAAATTTATGAACCAAATTTTCACCCTGTATTTTACTATAAAATAATAAATTCATGAACTTCTGATTATCATGGTGAATTTTTTTCATTTTTATTTTTAATTCAGCTTTTGAAAACACCTTTTGCCTTTGAAAACTGACAGTGAGGGCCAGTGCGATTGCAATGTGATTTTAAACCTGAATAATTCGTTTTTTCTTGATTATTACATAGCTAAGATTTTTTGCATAATCAAGTTTTTTGTTACCAACTCACCTCAATTTTAGCAGGGACGACAAGAAACTTGGGATATGAATGACAAATAGCAAAGTCTAGGTTTGCTCTACTTACTCTCCATTCACTGGAAATCTGTGGAGCGAACACAAAACTCTCAGTCTGTAAATACAGGAACTCTACTGCTTTCTTGTCATTTCCATGCACATCAGTCTCAATCCATTTAGTGGGTTATTTCGATCTATCTCTGATGCAGTTCTAATCCCTCTAGTAGGGCTTTTGGACTCATGTCTTTTGGCATTTCAACAATATGCATGGCTATCGACCCATCTAACGTTTTTTTTCTATCCATGTCTCTGGCCATTTTGCTACACATCACTTTTGATCCATCTAGTAGGGGTATTCAATCAATGTCTCTTGTCTTTTTAGTATGCAGGGCTATCAATCCATCAATTGAGATTTTTTCGATCCATCTTCTCTGCCATTTCAATATGCTACTTTCAATCCATCTAGTAAGGTTTTCTTGTATCCAAATGTCAAGAAAATGGATAAAAAGACTCTTCTAGAAGGATCAAAACTGTAAAAAAAGATGGATCCATCTGATGGGGCAGAAATATGGATCCTAACCCTGAACTGGATGTTTTGAGTTTCTGAAACACTAACAGGTAATCTTACCCCTTGTCTACTGTATTCTTGATCATAGTCATACACACTCCAGTAGTCTAGTTGTATGTCAGTAGAGTGATATCTAAAAGGAAGAACATACACTCAATGGACTAACTTGATGATAGGGTGACCATTTTGGATTGCAATGCATTATGGGGTGTTTGAGGGGCAGATATAATAAGTTCATGTCAGGCTTGATGATACATTTTTCTTTATATCGCTTGGCATTTTAACAGCTCAAGAAAATGCTAAATGGTATCGAATGAGAAAAAATCAAGCTAAAGTAAGGAGTTCTTTTATAGCTTCAAATGGCCTTGACTCACTTGATGAATATTTTTGAAGGAGGGCTGTCCATTGCATTCAAAATATGAAATGCTATTCTCTGATACAGAACATTGACATAGTACGGCAAAAAACTGAAGAAAAAAAAAGACATTTAGAACCTACTTTTCATAATATTCTTTATATACAGTACATGTAAAGTATAGAACAACCTTTAAATCTTATGGCAGAGAAGAACTAGGATCGAGAAACAAGAGAGGAGACTTTTTGTCCTCACCACAGGAAGCCCAAGGAACAAAAAGACCCAAGAACATGACCTCACCACAGGAAGCCCAAGGAGCAAAAAAACCCAAGGACATGCCTGTAGAGAAGGCTAAAAAAACATACTTGTTTGCAAAGTTTGAGATTATTTTTCCAACTAAACAGGTTTATTCGACTGTCAGTAGTACTTACTTCACACTATAAAGATCATTTTGGATACTTTTCTCAGGTATTGTTGACGTTCCAGCTAAGCATGTGACACCCAGTACCCCAGATCCTGCTAGTATTCCCAGTCCTTCCACACTTCCACTACTACTACTCTTGGAGAGGACTTGGAAACTACTGTGGCTGCTACTACGGGTGATGTCATCATGGCTGCTGTTGTTTGGGAATTGTGATTGGCCACCATCTCCTGGGTACAAGAGATCAAAATAATAACATAAGACTCCAATGATAATCTAATAATGTCCTAATAATAATGGGAAGTTCTTATATAGCGCATTTATACATCATCTCAATGCGCTTTACACTTATGAACCAGTGGAGGACTTAACGGGCTGTATAATATTAAGGCGCTATTAGCAGCCATGCAGCTTAGAATCATGAGTGACTTTTTTTAATTATCTAATAATATCTTAATAAAAACCCTATAGCATTTTTTGACGATTGACGATAATACTATTTGAAGAATAATCTAATAATGTCGTAATAATATTTTAATAACATTACAATAATATCCCACTACTATGACAACAACCATAAAACATTCTAGTAATAACTTAACAATATTCTAATAATAATCTATTAATAATCTAATAATAACCAACTAATAATCTAGGTTAGCTCTTGACCCCACAAACCTGAATTTAGTCTCTCAAGCTCAGGAACAGTAATATCCAGCAACCTTTGCTCACTAGCGTCCTCTCCCTCCTCCACCGCCAGTTGATGAGCAGAGCCTGCTATAGAGTCTGGACTAGATTGGCTACTGTGGGAACCTGGCGGCAAGAAGAATACACCCAGTGCAGGCTGATGGCTATTCATGAAGGTAAGGTAGATGGTACGGAAGTCCAGGCATCGGATGGTCAGTGTTTTGACATCTGCAAATGCTGCATTTCCACCAGCTGTTCTTCGAACAACCTTGGAACAGAGAGAGTCAATACAGTACATTGATGATGGTGATGATGATGGGGTGATGGTGGTTATGATGGTGATGATGATGATGATGGTGGTGATGGGGTTAATAGTGATGGTGGTTGTGATAATTATGGTGTTGATGGTGATGATGATGGGGATGACAATGGTAATGATGGTGATGATTTTTATTACAGTACAGCCCAGATGGTGATGGTGGTGACATTAATTCCTGATGGAAAAAATAAAAAGTAATGATTTTTTTTACTTTATTTTACTGTTATTGCTCTTACTTTTTCATCTTCTCCTTTATCTACTGATTGAATGTTGTTGAGAGCCACCCACATTGACATGTCCTGTCATCAAAAACGTGCTATATATTACATGCATGAGTACAGCTGTATATGAATGTGCATATAAGTGCACTACATGTCTAGTATATGTACAGTGGCGCTCTCAGAATGTGCTGGCAGCTGCCAGAGCTCCAGCAGTTGCTTCAAAGTTAACCACCAGCTACCTTTTCTTTTCTATAAAATACTTTCAGTTCCTCATGTGGGATCCTAGCCAACTAATTCACACTTATGACCACCTACTCTGAAAGCCCTGAGCATTTTTGAATGATTACATGTGGGTGGCCATGTTGAATGGCAGGACATAAAAATCCCTTTCCTCTCTGGAATCTATTTTTTTATTATTTTATATTGATTGTATTGTTCCTGCTTCTGATTTGACTGCCGATTTGTGGTAGATAGGTAGAGGCCTGTATTTATAGACAGACTTCCTGCATGTGAGATCCCCGGGGGGGGGTACTCCGCCAGAATTTGGGTAGGGGTGTTCCGCTGGGATTCTGAAAGGGGTACCCTATTTATGACCAAAAAAATCGTATTTGTAGATCCTGTTTATGACAAAAGATATAATCAATTGCACTGAGTTCCTGTTTCAATTATCATGTCATCTCACGTATCATTTTTTTACGACCATGGTAACCAGTTTCAGTCAATACGAAAGTAGAAATCCTGAATATGACAAGAAACTCAGGAAGAATTTGGACCTTGAGTGAAATTGCATACCCTGTTTATGACAAGAAGCTCGAAAAACCATACCCTGTTCAGCGGATCATCCCCGTATAGTTCATATATGGGAGTACCCCCCCTCCCCCCCGGGGTGAGATCAAAGCAGCTTAATTCAGTTTCATGAGAATTGGAAACCTTAGATTGATATGTCCTCTAAATCAAGCTGCATTCCGACAGCATGCAGGGGGTCTATTGTCTGTTATCAATGGGAGCCCTATACTTACACAGTGACCTACGCCAACATGGCTTGATGTGTTGCACAAGATTACAAGTCTAAGAAAAAACCATGCAAAATAATTAGCAAAGACTGCAAATGAAACACAGACTGTGCAAATATAAGATATGGTTATCAAGCAGTGATATGTGTAATGGCCCCCTTGCAGACATGCTGAATAATACAAGACAATGATTGAATAGACTGCGAGCTAAGAAAAAATTCTCTCCAGCCCCTTTCCCCAGGGACTTTTGACTTGTAACCAATCTTCCTCAACCAATCGACAGAGGGACTTGAGCAATCGAGCGCTCTGAGCAATTAGTGGATTTAGCGCTATATAAATAAATATTATTATTATTAATTAGCTCACAGTCTAATGATTGAAAAGTGTAATATATGCAAAAATGACAAAAACTTAATTGGAGGAAAAGAAAGACATAAATAAATAGATGGATAGATGAATGGATGAACAGACAGACAGACAGACAGATGGACAGAAAAGGCAATAGAACATACTTAAAAACACCTTGTACGACATACAGTATAACAAATCCGAGAAACGACCCTCGACTACTAACCTAAAATCAGTCAAGTAAACCCTTCCAATTCCACGGTGCTTGCTGACTTCAACTACAACGTCCTCTAAAACCATCTCTACATGTTCTGCTTCTCCTGTAGACAACAAACATCTTACTGTTTTCTCAAGGTTTTAAATGAGCTTACATTGTAAATGTATTGTTGAAGTTGTGCAGAGTTAAAGAATTAATAAATTTAGGGGAAAATTGTACATATGACTAGTGGTTGACTAGTGACTCGTACTTGACTCGGGCTCGAACTTGGCTCGCTCAACCAAACAACTCAGTTGTGCATCCTTTAATTGACCACAGGTACTTGTTAATATTAAATATTTATATATACTAAGAGTAAAGTAAATATTTATAAAAATTTTCAATTGATTACGATATTTTCAATTGATACCGAAATGAAACTTATGTTCCGGAGTCTGGAATCAAGGAACACAAACGTGGTATTGTAAGAGTTTGAAAATTGTCTGTTTATTTAATGTACATACTCATCATGTTATTACAGCGAGACTTTGAATGCATAGTGTGTAAGTAAACTAAAATTATTGAGAGATGGTATAAGTTACAATACCTGGAAAATCAAGAATGGAATCACCAGAAACAAAAGGTAGTTCAAAGCCAGCTTTCTTCTTGCACAGCGAAAGCAGCTCCGTGTCGACATTCCACCGTGGAATGGGCTGAGACAGAAAGTGAGAAATTTACTATTTAAATTTACTAATCTATTTATTAATTTATTAACTTATTAATTAATTTGAAAATGACTTTAAAAAATGACTTAGGAATTAAAATAGAAGTGGAAAGTGGGATCTTCCCTGCTTATTATCCTGCTCTTCCCTGCTCCCAACTCAGTACATATGACACCGAGCTCGTCGGGAAAAACTAGAGCATAGCTAGCTAAAGTGGTGGTGCAATGCTGAGTGGGTTGGACGAATGGTGTAAAAATCTTAATTATGCACCTCGACCTGGTGCAATGATCGATGAAGATGATATAAAAGCTTTACCATTAACCAGAACAATAATTCATTTTCAGTCATTTTCATTACCTGCTTTGCCACTAATTGTATCTTCAAGAATATCTCCCCCGAGACATTGTCTTTAGGTGCGGCCCTCCCCAGTGGATACCACCCTGATGTAGGCTGCTCATTCAACGTAGAAATGGGTACCATCACTCTACCCATGAAGTCGTCTCTGTTTAGGGTGTCTTTGTCCCAGATGTCAATTGTAGCATAATGAATGAGGCAGCTTCCATAGTTATCGTCTAGAGAGATAATTGAAGGGAATAAATAACAATGAATTTATAGTCTTTAATGATTTTTGATATTATTTTGCATAATAGATTTCAGCTAGATTAGTAGTTCAAGCGAGTAAATTTGATCATGTCACTCCAGTTTTGATAAAATTGCACTGGCTTCCTGTCCGTTTCCRAATTATATTCAAGATATTGCTCATTGTGTACAAGTGCTTGCATGATATGGCTCCCCCATACCTGGCTGATGCTATAAAACCGAGGAAAAATTTGCGCACTCTCAGATCTACAACCATGGAGTATCTAGAAGAA